AGAGATGAGGTCTCGCCAAGTTGCCCAGGCTGGTCTCGAACCAGTGGGCTCAGGCAATCCCCTCACCTCAGCCTCCCAAAGTGAGGATCACCAGAGCCCAGCATGTCGATGCTGGGGTGGCCATGAGCATGCCACTGCACTCCAGCCTGGGCGATAGAGTGAGACTCCAACTCAAAAAAAAAAAGAGTAAACACTTTGTGCTACAAATGACACCATCAAGAAAGTGCTGCTTGGAATGTAAAATGGTGTAGTTGCTTTGGAAACACTTGGTAGTTCCTTAAAATATGGAACACACAGTTACCATAGACTTCAGCAACTCCTGGGTATCTATCCAGAGAAATGAAAAACATGTCCACACAAAAACTTGAATATGAATGGTGATTGCAGCATTATTCATAATAACCCTAAAGGGGAAACAACTCAAATGTCTGTCAACTGATAAATGGATAGACTAAATGTGTTATATCCAGGTCCTGGAACAGTACACAGTTGTTAAAAGGAATAAAGTACTAACACATGCCACAACATGGGTGAGCCTTGAAAACATTAAGCTACGTGAAAGAAGGAAATCAGGCCGGCCTCAGTGGCTCAGCCTGTAATCCCGCGCCTTTGGGAGGACGAGGTGAGTGGATTGCCTGAGCCCGCAGGTTCGAGACCCGCCTGGGCAACTTGGTGAGACCTCATCTCTACAATAAATCAAAAAAATTAGCCGGGCAAGGTAGCGTACGCCTATAGTTCCAGCTACTTGGAAGGCTGAGGCGGAAGGATCGCCGAAGCTCAGCAGGTTGAGGCTGCGGTGGCCGGGAGCGGCCACTGCACTCCAGTCTGGGTGACAGAGTGAGACTCCAGCCAAAAAAAAAAAAAAGAAAGAAGGAGATCAGAAACACCACATACTGCATGATTCAGTTCACATGAAATGCACAGCAGCGACAGGCCCTAGAGACATCTGAAAGCAGGTCAGCGGTTGGCAGGGGTTGGGGAGGAGGATAGCGTAACGGCAAATGGGTATGGTTTCTCCTTGAGGTGATGAGAATGTTCTAAAATTAGTTGTGGTGACGGCTGACAACTCTGCAAATATTCTAAAAATCAATGAATTGCTTAAAAGGGGTGAATTTTATGACTAGTAAATTATATTTCCATAAAGCTGCCTTAAAAATTGTTCTCCTATAATTCTTAGTCCATTACCCTGCTATACTTTTTCCTTTCTTCTGCAGCATTTTTTTTTTTTTTTTTTTGAGTTGGAGTCTCACTCTGTTGCCCAGGCTAGAGTGCAGTGGCACACTTATGGTCACCCCAGCGTCAACCTGCTGGGTTCCGGCAATCCTTCCGCCTCAGCCTTCCAAGTAGCTGGAACTACAGGCGCCCACAACGACACCCAACTAGTTTTTTTGATTTATTGTAGAGATGAGGTCTCCCCAAGTTGCCTCAGGAAGGACTGCCCGAGCCCAGCAGGTCAAGGCTGCAGTGGCCGTGAACATGCCACTGCACTCCAGCCTAGGTAACAGAGTGAGACTCCGACTCAGAAAAAAAAAAGATTTTTTGTTGTTAAAACTGAGTTCTCCCTGTGTTGCCCAGGCTGGTCTCCAACTCCTGGCCTCAAGCGTTCCTCTCACTTCAGCCTCTCAAACCACTGGGATTATAGATGTGAGCTATTGCACCTGGTCTCTTCTTATATACTATACACTATACACTTGTTTTAAAAGTGAGAAAAGAACAAGGCACAGTGGCTCATACCTGTAATCCCAGAACTGTGGGAGACTATGATAGAAGGATTGCTTGAACCAAGGAGTTACAGACAAACCTGGACAACATAGTGAGACCTCGTTTCTACACAAAATCAAAACAATAGCCAGGAGTGGTGGCATGCGCCTGTAGTCCCAGCTACTTAGAAGGCCGAGGTGGATCACTTGAACCCAGGAGGTTGAGGCTGTGATAAGCAAGGATCCCATCACTACACTCCAGCCTGGGTCACAGAGTGAGGCCCTATCTCTAAATTAATTAACTAATTAATACAAGTGGGGAAGGGCTCAGCCTCTGCCATCCGAGAGAGACTGATACAAATGATTAACTCAAAACACTGGTAAGGAGTTTTACATACTTTTTAGTTACACCTCCTTAAGTCTCATTTCCTCATTTGTAAAATGACAATACAATAGCTTATGAATAGGGTTGTTTTAAGGACCAAATACAGCCGGGCTCGGTGGCTCAGCCGGTACTCCTGTGCTTTGGGAGTCTGAGTTGAGTGGATTGCCTGAGCCTGCTGGTTCGAGACCTGCCTGGGCAACTTGGTGAGACCTCATCTCTGCAATAAATAAAAAAATTAGCCGGGTGTGGTAACGCACGCCTGTACTTCCAGCTACTTGGAAGGTTTGGGTGGAAGGATCGCCAGAGCCCAGCAGGTCGAGGCTGCAG